AGCCTGTGAAACTGTGAGCCTGTGAGCCTGTGAGCCTGTGACTCTGTGAAACTGTGATCCTGTGAGCCTGTGATCCTGTGAGCCTGTGAAACTGTGAGCCTGTGACTCTGTGACCCTGTGAAACTGTGAGCCTGTGAGCCTGTGAGCCTGGCACTTGGAAAGTGGAGGAAGGAAGATCTAGAGTTCAAGGCCAGCCTGAACTACATGAGACGCTGTATCAGAAAAAAGATTTAGGAGATGGCTCAGTTTGTTAAGTGCTTGTCTCACACACACACACACACACACACACACACACACACACACACACACACACACACGAGGACCTGAATTTGATCCCCAGAATCCATGTTAGAAAAAGTCAGGCATGGCAGTGTGCCTGTGACCCCAGTTCTGGGGAAGCAGGGCCAGAAGGGTCCCTTGGCTTGCTGGCAGTCCAGCCCAATCCAGCCCATTGAGTCCCAGGGCCCAGTGAGAAACCTTGTCTTAAAAAGTAAGGTACACAACTCCTTAGGAACACCAGAGGTTGACCTCTGGCCTCTATACACACACACACAGCTGTGCACATGCATATCTGTCTCCCCAAAAATTAATTAAAAAAATAAGAAAAATCTATCCACCCAGCCCCAGGATAGGAACACACAACCTGATGGCAGCTGGGGACGGAGCTGGTAGGATACAGTATTTAGCACAGACAGGGGGTCTCATCTTGTCAATAAAACACAGACACGATGTTTAAAAGTGCGTGCGTGCGTGCGTGCGTGTGTGTGTGTGTGTGTGTGTGTGTGTGTGTGTGTGTGTTTACCTGAGTGCAGGTGCTGGAGCACGAAGTTATGGGCTGTTGGAGTCCCACGATGTGGGTCCTGGAACTGAACTTGCATCCCCTGCAATAGCAGTCTGCACTCTACCATTTACCCACTTCTCCACCGCCCCTCCCTATATACCATCTGAGGCAAGAAAGGAGAAAAATGAATTCAGGGAAGTAGCACTAATGGAGATCGTTAAAGCAGGACATTAGAAGGCCAAATCATCAACATGTCACAAGGCCTAGCCTGGGGTATGGCTCAGTTGGTAGAATGTTATCTAACATACATTGTACCCTAGCTTCCTCCGTACCCCACAAAACCAGGCTTGGTTGTACACCCCTATAGCTCCAGCACGCGGGTGCCAGGAGATGAGAGGCGTTCAAGGTCATCCCAGCTACAAAGTGTGTTTGAGGTCAGCCTGGGAAGCTAAAATTACCAGTTCAGTTATGAAGACAAACATGGTCAGATATTTAAAACTCAGCAAGCCAGGCTGCTTCTCTGGCTATTGCTTGGGGTCACTGTAGCAAGAGCGAAGGGGGTGGTTTGGAAAGGGTTCTGACGTGTGCTGAAGGTCTGTAACATCCTGTGCTAGCCAGGCCTGGTGTCAAACACCTATAGCCCAGTACTGGGGAGGTGGGAGTTCAAGGTCATCTCTGCTACACAGTAAATTCAGGAGCAGCCTGTATCGCATGCTAGTATACAAATTAAACGTTTAAAAAATAGGGCTGGAGAGATGGCCCAGGGGTTAAGAGCACTGACTGCTCTTCCAGAGGGCCCAGGTTCAATTTCCCAGCACCCACATGGCAGCTCACAGCTGTCTGTAACTCCAAGATCTGACACCCTCACACAGACACACATGCAGGCAAAACACCAATGCACATAAAATAAAAATAAATAAAGTTGTTAAAAAATAATATACAAATTGAAAGTTTAAAAAAATTTTTAATATCAAGCAAAGGGCCAGTGAAATGGCTCGGTGGATAGAGGCACTTGCCTCCAGGCCTAACTAAGTTGATCCCATTCTAGGATACACATGGCAGGAAGAAAGAATCCATGATCTTTACATGCATGCTGTGGCATGCATATGTCCACATGATGACACACACACACAAAGTAAAAGTATAATATGAATAAATAACAAGCAAATACTACCCACAGAAGAAACCAGTGCTGTCATTTAATATCTAGCTAAACAATTTTGAAGAAGAGCATCATTTGAGATTAAGAGTACAGATGATAAATTTGGTTCACTATAAAGATTGCAAACTCAAAATATGGAGATGCCTAAAAACACAGCCTCAAAATGTTATAGTCAAAAAGCAGGTAGAAGACCAGATGTGGTGGTGTTTACCGTAATGCCAGCACTCGGGAGGCAGACAGGTGGGTCTCTGTGAGTTTGAGGCCAGCCTGGTCTACAGAGTGAGTTCCAGGCTGGGAGGAGTCACCTAATGAGACCCTGTTTTTAAAAAGAGGCAGAGGAAGCGGAGGGGAGGGGAGGGGAAGGAAGAGAAAATGTACCTACCAGAAGAAATGAACACAGTGGGCTTCTCAATTGGGGGACATGCTGTTCCTAGGAATCAATCTTGGGTTGAGTAAAGACCTTCTAACCCTTTCCATCCTTAACCACAAAAGGCCTGTCTCCCTTCGGTACGGGGATGCTCTGGGCTTGTAGGGAACTCAGTTTTCTGATTGTCTGCAGTACTGAAGGGGGAACCTAAGTTCTTTGTGGCTGTGGTGCAGTATCAGAACATAGGCAAACCCTTGACCTTCTTAGACCATAGTTCTCTTCAGAGTGTCCCATGGGGCTGACAGTAGTGTGGGCTGGAACCAGCCTGAAGCTCTGCCTGAGAACTGAGCCATTGCTCTCCTCAACAGGTGGGGAACAGCAGCATTGCCTGGTCCCTAGGCTACATGCTCAGCTTGACCAACCAGATCCCAGCTGGAAGTACGCTGATCCGCCTACCCATACTGCCACCGGTTTTTATGGGAGTCCTGGCCTTCTTCACGGCCATCGCCTTGCTCTGCCTGGCATTTCTTTTGTATCTGTGTTCAGCATTCAGGACAAAGGGCCGCTCTGAGAATGCCTTCGACCAAGCAGTGGATTCTGATTGAGCCTTCCAAGCAGCAACTGGAGCCCGAGGCTGCCTATAGCCCACCAGAGTGACACCAGGCAGTGTAAGCAAAGTGGCTGCCACCTGGACCTGCTCCATGGTTAAATGCCAAGGTCATGTGCCTCTCAGCTACTGGTTCCTGCCAGAGCACTTCCTAGGAGCCCCTCAACTACTCAGTGAGAGTTGCCCTGGCAACCCCTCCCCACCTGACTGTTGGTCCACTGGGAATCAAGGAGACACAAGCAGTCAAGTTCAGGGTCCTCACTCCAGAGGAAGTTGAAAATATAATAACTTAATGTGGACGAACTGACCACAGGGCTCAGTTTCCAGTTTCTCTCCCTCACTATTCTTCCTAGCAAGGCACCCATGAAGGCTCTGACTGGGACATCTCACCCATGCTGTCCTATAGATCCTTTCTAAGACCTTCTTGTCTGTTAGTTTCGAGTCCAGACCCAGCTCAAGCCACTGATACTTTCTTTTAGCAATCCCATAAGCATTAAGTTCCCTAACTGGTAGGATGTATCATTTGGTGGGGAAGATGATAGTGTAGAGTCTCATGTAGCCCAGGCTAGCCTCCAACTCACTATGTAGCCAAGGATGACCTTGAACTTCTGATCTCCTCCTGAGTGCTGCAGTTATGGATATGAGTCACTACACTCAGTTTATGGGGCGCTGGGGCTAGAACCCAGGGCTCCATGCATGCTAGGCAACTGTTCCACTAACTGAGCTGGATCCCCAGCCTCAGAAGACTCTGGAACTCAGGACACATGGAAGTCCCTACCACAGTAGCTGCTCTCGTCGTGGAATTCCCACTTGGGACTCTGGTCATGAGACTGCTACTCGGTGTGCATCCTCCTCCTCATGTAATTGTCACACCGCTGTGCCCTCTTCTAAATCACACCCAGTCGACTGCACTGGGGCGGATCTCACTGACCGGGCAGGCCCTTGTCCAGGGCTGCCTGTCCACTATCATCATGGCGTGTGTTTCCCCACCACCCTCACATGTATACTCAATCCTGTCCTAAGACATCCCAGTCTGGAATTTCTGACCAATTACTTACCCCAGTTACAGTTCTCCCTGAGCAGCCACTACACATCTTGATTTGGGGGGAAGGAAAAGGCAGTCTTGGGAATACTCAACTCCAAAGTGGGATAAGAAAGGGCTTGAGCAAGTCCAGTTGCTACACGCTACAAATCAATGCTGTTTCGTATGGCTGGTTGTGGACACCATATGGAATAAACTCTTATTTTTATTTTGCAATGTGTATTTGTTAAATATAGATGCCCTTTCTCTAAGGAGATAGGGTGGTATTTTTAAAAAAGAAGAAAGAGTCTCACTGTGTAGCTCTGTCTCTGCCTCCTTGGTGCTGGGATTCTAGGTTTTATTTTTTATTGACTAACTTGAGTTCTGGGTACTGAACACAGCTCTTCAAGCTTGCATGTTTTTTACTGACTGACTGGCCGTCTCCCCAGCCCTTGTTTAGGTTTTGAGACAGGGTCTTGATTCATAAATGAGAAATAAAAATAGGGTCTGGAGATAAGAGCACTGGCTGCTCTTCTAGTGGACCTGGGTTCAGTTCCCCACACCAATATGGCAGCTCACAACTGTCTGTGTCTCTAGTCCCACAGGGTCTGGTTCCCTCTTCTAGGCTCCTCTAGCACTGAATGCATGTGGCACACAGCCAGACATGCAAACCAAATGCCATATACACAGAAGTTAATAAATAAAAAAACTTTTTTTAGAAGATTTATTTATTATGTAAATAGTGTTCTGCCTGTAGGCCAGAAGAGGGCACCAGATCCCATTATAGATGGTTGTGACCCATTATGTGGTTACTGGGAATTGAACTCAGGACCTCTGGAAGAACAGTCAGTGCTCTTAACCTCTGAGCCATCCCTCCAGCCCATTAAAAAAAAAAATACTTTTAAATAAAAGTAAAATAAATCTTAAAAAAGAAATGTCAGGCTGGAGAGATGTCTCAGAGGTTAAGAGCACTGGCTGTTCTTCCTGAGGTCCTGAGTTCAATTCCCAGCAACCATATGGCTGCTCACAACCATCTGTAATGGGATCTGGTGCCCTCTTCTGACATGTAGGCATACATGCAGGCAGAACACTATGCATAATAAATAAATCTTTTGAAAAAAGAATGTCAAATATTTTGATTTTACTTGCCAATCTCTGACTTCTAGAAGCCTCCCAGCTTATTAATTTAAAAACAAACACGTGTCTAATAAAACCAGAACATTCTCTGTGCTTACTTCAAAAAGCACTGAGTGTTCAGGATCATGGTTAAATAGCAAGTTCTTAGTTGTGTAGGTAAGAAAGCCAGCTAAGTGTCTCTCCTCTTGCCAAAGACATGTCTCCTTTGATATGTCTGTTTCTTACACCTGTGAGTGAGCTCTTTCAGATAAACCTCACTCAGCTGTGTTCTGCTCGCATTATATACAGCACAGATATCTCAACCCTGCTGTGTCTACACACTGATAAAGCCACACCTGTCCCGTACCCATACACTGTCCCAGCTATCCCAACTCTCATGGCCCCTACATCTGTGCTCCTCATACAGATACAGACCCTATGTCATAGCCCCAAATGTCTACCACCCAGACACACACACACACACACACACACACACACACACACACACACACACACTACCACCATTGCTCACACTGAGGTGTAGATGTAACCAACCATCTTATTAAATAAGAAACACAGAACCAATGTAAAAGAGAAAGCCATGAGGTCAGAGCTCAGAGCTAAAATCTCACCCTTCCTCCTGTGGTGGTCCTAGCTCTCCGAAAGAGAGCTACTTCCTGTGTGTTTGTCTTTTCATAGTCTTTTTGTTCTGCCTTCTCATTGGTTGTAAACCCAAACATGTGACTGCCTCATCACTGCCTGTATGTATAGGCCTCCAGGTCTTAAAGGCGTGTGTCTCCAATACTGGCTGTATCCCTGAACACACTGAGATCTACCTAGCTCTTCTACCAAGTGCTGGGATTGAAGGCGTGTGCCACCACCGCCACACTCTTGCTATGGCTCTAATAGCTCTGACCCCTGGGCAACTTTATTTATTAATATACAATCAAAGTCACATTTCAGTACAATTAGAATACCACCACACTGAGGTACAGTTTTTCACACATTCACACCTGATCTCCAACTCAGACCTGTGCACATTAGTACAGGCCAGCCTGTTGCTCCCGCCTCAGCCTCTGGAGTAGCTGGGATTGCAAGTGTGCACCACCACACTCAGCATGCAAACAGCTTTGAAACTTCACAGTGGAAAAGAGGTTAGAGGCTGATCTAGCCAACACCACACAGCCAGAGAGGGGCAGAACTGACTGAGCCAGCCCGCGGTGTGTGTAGCTGGCTAGGCCTTGGAGCCCAGGGATTTATCAGTCTCACACCCAAACCCCAGCACTGGGATCACAAGTCTATCATGTCTGTCTGTCTGTCTGTCTGTCTCTCTCTCTCTCTCTCGTGGGTTCCAGGAGTTGAACTCAGGTCCTCATGCTCATGTGGCAAGCACATTCCCAACTAAGTCACCTCCCAGCCCGTGTTTTGGTTTTCAGGAAGTTGCCATGCAGCCCTGCTGGCACTTGCTGCACATCCCAGCCCAGTCTCAAACTCGTGGCACTTTCTACCCCAGCCTCCTGCACACTGGGATGACAGCTGGGCACCCACTGCCACACACAGCTTATACACAATATTTTTGCTTTGTAAAAAGAGAACTTGAGACTTCACCTAAAGCTTTCTTCCAAAAATTTTATGCTCTAATAATAAAAATCAAGGAACTATAAAGGGCCACTTGTGGGTTTTTTTTTTTAATATGAAGTCTTTTTCTTTTTCTTTTTTTTTTTTTAAGATTTATTTAGCTGGGCGGTGGTGGCTCACGCCTTTAATCCCAGCACTCGGGAGGCAGAGACAGGCGGATCTCCGTGAGTTCGAGGCCAGCCTGGTCTCCAAAGCGAGTTCCAGGAAAGGCGCAAAGCTACACAGAGAAACCCTGTCTCA